CGACCGCGTATATATAAAGTGAGCAAAAAGGTCACTAACACTCTGCATTATCTGTATCGTCTCGAGAATTTTTTACCCATACGGACTAAGGCGATGCTAATACAGACTCTAGATTTTAGATTATGCAGATGTTTGCTATGTTGATGCCTCTCAAGATCTTCTAAACAAACTGGATCTTTTTCTTAATAATTGTATACGCTTCATTTTCGGTTTACGTAAATACGACCACATCTCCTCTTATCGTTCTCAGCTTAAATGGCTACCTCTCCGCTATCGCAGATTTTTAGAATACTGTGCACATTATTTTCAGTTTCCCATGATCTGTTTATCCCTGAATATCTGAAATGCAAATTTCAGTATCATTGTGATACCCACAATCGTTGTCTCCGTTCTGCATAAATGTTTAATCTTCATGTCCCCCTCTGTCACACTAGTGTCTTGTATAAATCTTTTACTTCACATGCGATGAGATTGGGCAACAAATTACCTAGCAGTTTACGTGCAGCCACGAGCAAGGCATCGTGCAAACGCTTGCTCTGGAATAATTTTCTGCCGTTGCAGGAGTAGTTTGTGGATTAACATTTTTTTATATCCTTAAATTCTAACTGTTCACTTTTCCTGTTTTTATTTCAAATATTTTTTAGATGTTTGAATCAGAAACAGTTATATTTAATTATGTATGTACTATGTATGCATATATACACAGACAGTATTAAGCAAATATATGTATATATTTATATATATTGTATGCATATCTATATAATATGTATGTGTTATGTTTATAATATGTATCGTAATATGTAATGATTATTCATAGATATTTTAACTCAGTTGCACCTTGCACCCTCAATATCTTCTCTGCTTAGCCTGGAGGTAGACTTATAGAGAATGCCTTGTTGCATTAAGTCTGCCTTTTTGTACTTGCAAAGCATAAATAAATAAATAAATCGGGTCCGATTTTCAAGCCTCGCTTTGAAACCGAAATGTAGGTGTAGTTCGCTATAGAGTAAGTCAAAGCAAATGGAGTGTCTTTATATTTTATAACGCTGAAAGCTTTGTTTATGATTCGCTTTTGTTCCAAGGTGTGTACCTGTTGGAGAATTTAAAATGAGGAATTGTGGGAAAGCATTTATTTTTATGAATTTCGCTTGAAGCGGTCAATTTGCGGTTTATTTATTTTGTATGATCTTCTGCCCAATTTCAGATTACTTTTGTTTTTCCTTATTTGTATGGTTTTAAGAAAACACATTTCCCTCACGATTAAGGGTGCTAATAATCGCTCGAAAGGGCGTGGTCCACAGCTGAACATAAACCGCTGGTATTCACAAAATACTTTAAATTAGATCATGAAACTTTCCATACTAACTGAATTAACTATAAAACAGGGCTTATGTTTTTTTAATTACCATTATTTAACTGTAAAAAGAAATTACCTGAATTATCGGTGTCCTAAAGCGTTTTTCCTGCCGCCCGATAACTCCACTCAGTATCGCTTCGACTTTAAAAAGCTATATCGCTTACGATCAGAATACACATTACGCAACAGGACGACGTAAAATTAAATTGGGAAATAACCATAATAAAAATAAGAAGCGAGGGGGTTGGCGTAAAGAAACAGGCATAAATATGATAAACCTATTGAAATAAGTATCTAAAGACCTATTTACTTACAGTATTAGTGATTACAAACATGTCGGTACATAGCATATGACGCGCGGGGAAGTAGGGGCGAAATTAGAATTTGAACTGAGATAGTATAGACCCTTAATAGTGGCATATAATATAATATAGTACTAATGTTGTAATTAAATGATTCTCAACTCATTTTAAAGATAAATAAGCGAGAGAAAGTATAAAAAAACTATGTCGGTGGAAGCGAAAATTTAATAAAACATTCCACTTATCTGTTCGAGACAGAAGCGAGCCGAGAAGCGGGGAGTAATATTAATTATTCAGAACGAGTGCAAGTCGGCGTTGGGCGTCGTTTCAAAGAGTTTCGCGAAATATTCGCCTTTAGTCGAATTACCAACAACATCTCTCGTAACTATAACGAGATCGAGGATAAAGCTTAGATGTGCCCGACCGTATTTCTATTTGTACTAATCTAATAAAACAATATGGGTTGGGAAAAGTTTCTCCATTTTAAGAAATGAAGACTCCGTGATTTTTATAGATACAGTTTATAATTAAATATAATAGTAAATTCGTAACACATGATTATAATAAATTAATAATACGATTTGTGATGGTGTAGAATTTGGTTATTTAATATATTTTTACATATAAATAGAGAGATATACGAGCTTACAGTCTACTTGATACTTGTTCCATGGAAACCTACAACTACTTTCAAACATTTAGATATTTAGACCTGGTAGAGCCACGCTGCAGCTATATTATGGTTGTAGCACGAATGGGTCGGCTCGGCCGGGAAAGGAACATGCTCTCACAGAATATTAACGTAAAATAGTAGCTCGGTGCTGCCGTGTTCCGTATGGTGAGTGTAGAGACCCTTTCTACTGGTAACGAGGCATTCCATCTTAATCCCCACGGGTGGCAAAGCATGTGCATTTTGATTCTTAATCGATGATAGATGTAGTAGTGTATATCTATAGGCCACAGCATTCACTTACCATCAGGTGGACTGTGTGCTCGTTTGCCACCCTTATTCTATAAAAAGACCAAAGAAGCATTGACATCTCTGAGGACTAAGATAGTGCCCACAGCGTGTATTTTGTACTGGCACTAACCCTCCCGGCTGGATCACAGCAGTGCAGCAGCAGCTTGACTACAATTTGTCAGTAGAAACAAGAGGAGGGTACCTATCTAGACGATCTCATAGGCAGAATAGGAAATCTATCTCTTAGGAAAAATGATAAAAGTAAAATGCCGGAAGTATTTTCCCGCCTTTGATAAATGACTAATTATAATACGAGGAATAATTATTAACAGTCTTTATAGGCCTAAAATCAAAAGATATATGTATATAAATATTAATGAATTTCCTATTACATTATATCACATATTTTGTTAATAATTTGATAAATATGAAATAATAATAAAATCACCATTAAAAATGAAGATGGTGGTAGCATTCCTGTGTAAATAGGCTGACAATGCATCTGTAGCCTTCTTTGTTAGAAGTGGACATTGTGTCATTTATTCATTTTAGTGACCCATTCAAGTATTGATTCGTCTCACGAACCGGATCATTCAGATCGATCTTTCTAGTGGATCATTTAGAGTTACAGTACTTTGTGATCTGTGAGATCCGCTCGATAATGTCGGTCGCAGCACAATACTATACTCTTTGGTCGTAGTGAACCTACAAAAATGTAATAAGGTTAAAATTTTACACCATGTAAAATAAAATCAAAAAATATATATTTGTAATAGATTTTGTAAAAAGTAAACGAGAAATATTGATTTATGTTTATAAAATTGCAATATAAATTTTATATTTCAATTTTAAGAATTTTTTTCCGTCTGCAAAACGCTGTCCGCCATATTAGCCAATGTGACGTCACCGATCCAGCCTTAGAGTATTAGTGTACTGTGTCACTGATTAAGAGAACTAGCAAACGTGCTGTATTATTTCGAAAATTTTTAAGTTATCATTAATCATTACGATTATTGGGTTTTAATCCGAATTTTATTAAAAAGGCATCATGGAAGACGAATTCGTAAAAGCAGAAAGTACTAATCAACCAAGGATAAATAAATTGATGGTGGCAAAATTTTTTGCATGCAATCCCAATTTTTGTTCTGCCGAGTGGAAGAATGTTAACTCTGAATCCCCATAAAATTCCCACGCAATCGCATGCGCTTGGCAAATTCCGAGCGGTCGCATGCGACCGCACCCACCCACAGCACTTAAAACCATTAAAACTTATATTTAGAGACTAATTTTCTATGAAGTTTGGCATTATAAAATCTATATTAAATTCTCTATCCTGTGGTCTAAACAAAAGTCAGGTTTTACTTCATTACAAAAATATTTTATTGTATTTTGATAACAAAAAAAAATATAGGTACCAAGCAGATGTCGGCAGCGTGAAAATCACAATTTTTATATATATTACTCGAAAATATTTACATAAAAAGATGAAATATTATATTCACACAAAAACTTTTATAACAATTCTATAATAAAACACTATATTAAAACACTAATAAAACACTAGAAAAATCAAAAAATCAACTCAACACGCGAGCGAGAGTGAGACGGCATGTACTAGCAACAGCGCGCGCGAGTATCAAAATCGGGGGTGTGGGCGTGCGGGCGGGAGGAAAGCAGACTGCTAGTCGGTCAGTCGCAGCGCAAATCGAGGAGCAACAGTTCATTTGTTTTGTGATTTGTCGAGTTTTCGTTCGTTTAATTAAATTATATTTTTTGTACCTAAGCGTGGTATGGATCCTAAAAAAGCGAAAAGTGGACAGTGAAAATATGAGGTTTCTAGAAGAATGCGCTGATCAATATTGTTTTACGCTGCCGGATAGGCCTCAAGCAGTTCCAGTGTGCCTTATATGCAATAAAACTGTTGCTATTGTTAAAAGTGGAAATTTGAAGCGACACTATGAAACGACTCATCAGCAATTCCACAAAAACTTTCCTCTTGGCAGTGAGGCTCGTAAAGAAAAACTTTAGGCACATCTCCGTTCTTACAATAAAAGCACAAAATTACTAGTTCGCTGCATGAGCGACCAAGAAAAATCCACAGAAGCAGTGTTACGTGTGTGCTGGACGCTTAATAAACACCAGAAACCATTTTCGGATTCTGAGATAGTGAAGGAATGTATGTTGGCAGCAGTCACGGCACTTTTTGAAGAAAAAAAATGTCGCTGGAATTCAAAATATTCCATTATCAACAAGAAGCAATACGCGAAGAACTGAAATTTTAGTTGCTGATATTAAAATCACCCTTTTCGAACTTCTGCAAAAGGCACCTTGCTACGCTATAGCACTTGATGAGTCATGTGACAATTTTGATGATGAACAAATGTCAATTTTTGTCAGATTTCTTGACATTGAGTCTAAAACTTTTAGGGAAGAGTTGCTAACAATATTGCCTCTGAAAGGTACTCGAGGAGAAGATTTATTCAAGGTAATTGATGAATTTATTACTAAATCTAACATCAGTTACGATAAAATTGTGTCGCTTTCAACTGACGGGGCCCCAGCAATGATTGGCAAAGAAAAAGCTGTAGTAAAGAGAATTAGGGATAAAAATCCAGGCCTAATATCATATCAGTGTATAATTCACCAGGCAGCCCTTTGTGGAGAACTTAGCGCTACACTGAAAGAAGTGATGGACAGCTTAGTGAAGTTAGTAAATTTTATGAGATCTCATTCTGCTCTTCAGCACCTACATTTCAAGGAGTTTCTTTTTGAATGTGATTCAGCGTATTCTGACTTACTGCAACACAACAATGTTCGTTGGCTAAGTAAAGGTCAAGTTATTGAACGTTTTTGGCTAATAAAAGAACAAGTAACCTCCTTCTTGCAAAACTTAGATACGCAGGGAGCTAAGAAGCAGCTTGAGTTCGTAACAAATAAGCGCAATATGCTGGTTGTGGCTTTTCTAAAAGATATTTTGAAATATTTAAATGCGCTCAACACAGTTACAAGAAAATGGAAAATTAATATGTGATCTGATACAAAGCGTGTCTGCTTTTCGTCGTAAGCTGGATATCTTTGAAAAAGATATTGCAAGACAAGAATTTGTTCATTTTTCGACAATTTTGGAATATAAAAAGGAGAACTCTGAAGAAGACATTGCAGTGTTTACAACATTTTTAACTTGCCACAAGATTCCAAGACTTTGCAGAGATGGGCAAGCTGTCTCTGTTTCTTAAGTCACCCTTTGAAGTTGATGTAGCAGCAGAATGGACAGATGTGGCTGCCAAGTTGTTTAATCTGTCAAAGCCATCACTTCAAATGGAAATAATCTATCTGCAAGAAGATGTGTCTTTGCAAATATATAAAACTGTGTCAACTGAAGAATTTTGGGTCAAACATGTCCCAGTAAAATACGAAAATTGTAAAAAACTTGCTATCAATTTGGCCACTATGTTTGGTTCGACATACGTATGCGAAACATCTTTTTCAAAGATGAATTTTTTGAAAAACAAATATCGTTCGAGATTAACGGACGCTCACTTTAAAGACACTCTTCGAATTTGCTGTTCTTCTCGAGAACCAAACTATAAAAACCTAGCTCAAGACCGTCGATGCAATTTTTCACATTCATTCTACAATTTTATAATTCAGAATTTTACTTCTACAATAAATAGCTTCCTAACACTTAATTATTATCAGTTGTTTTTTTTCTGGACCTTGTAAAAATTTTCAAGGTTTATCCGGACCCTACCTAAAACTACTTGCCGACCCCTGGTTTATACAATATACCCTTCACCTCATGATGTTTTGTTTTGAAATGATCTGCACAGAAGAATAGTCTGATTTTGTAGACAATGTACTCGGGTATCTTCTTGCCAGTTTTGACCAAGTATTTCCTATATTTAAATATTTAGCACTTGAATCCATAACTATCCCGTCGTTCTTATGGTCGTATTTTTGCATTCAGGCACCACACAACAATATTTTATATGATAACTCATTATTAAACATTATAAAGTATCTTATTCCTTTGCAAAATCGGCAAAATCGAGGACAGTGAAGTCACGAGTTGAACAGCATGGCGGCTAGCGTTTTCACGCGAAAATTTAAAACGATAGATTTAAAGTAATTTTTATGACACTATACGGTTTAAAAAAATATATATAAAAATTATAGTGGTTCATTATCACTCCAGCATTTATTTAAAACAATTTTTGAAAATGGGTGTAATACCCTATTGTAATCACCAATACTTTGATAAGACCCGGGCCAAAACAACGAATCATTCACGATTGACACGTGTGTACTTTATGAAGTTGCCGCAGGTTGATTGCAGGTTTGTTAGTCACTTTACTTACATGAAAAAAAAACACTGTAAAAACACGAAAATTTCAGATGTACAGTTAAAAATGTGTAAAACCATCATTCGATAGAATTTATGCTACTATCGTTTATGTATTTATAAGTTGTATTTTAATAGAGGTTAGGCGCTAATTAATGAGGCCGCAACCAGATAAGATTTAATTCATTTATCTTTTATTATATTAGCTACTTAGCTTACGGAACTTTGTTTGGTAACATTATAATAATGATTAATTAAATAGAGAATTTAAGAGATACTATCAAATCGTAAAAACCGGTGAATGCTACTTTCAAATACTGGAAGTGGACTTAACCTTCAATCTTATTGCGGTAGAACAGTTTCGAATGGAATCATTTTTATTATTATGCGTAAAAATTCAACATCATAATCATTCATCATCATCATTACAGCCCTTCACAAGTCCACTGCTGAACATAGGCCTCCCGCAAGTAATGCCACAAAGCACGGTCCTGAGCCACCTGCATCCTTCGAACTCCTGCATGTCTTACCAGGTCGTCACTCCATCTAGTGGGGGGTCGCCCTACACTACGCCTACCGGTACGAGGCTGCCACTTGAGAACCTTTCTTCCCCATCGGTTATAGGTTCTTCGAGCTATTTAGCCGGCCCATTGCCACTTCAGCTTATTAATCCGTTGGGCTATGTCGGTTACTCTAATTTTACTGCGGATATGCTCATTTCTAAGTCTATCACGCAGAGAAACTCCGAGCATAGCCCTCTCCATAGCTCGCTGAGCGACCTTGAGCGTCCTCATACGGCCAGCAGGGAAGGACCACGTCTCAGATCCGTAAGTCATCATAACGTCATAAGCTCTACAGTATTAGACTGTACATTTCCTTTTGCGGTTGTGTTTTGGTGGTTAGTATAAATGAGTTGACTCAACCAGCCAGCACCACGTTTGCTTAAAATACAAGTGGAATATATCCAAATGCTGCTATTTTACGCTGCAGTAATCACTAACTATCAGATGGATTGTGTGCTCGATTGTCACCATTATTATTATAACAAAATTAGGACCATTAAATGCCAATGTACCTTACCTTCACCTTACCTTCAATATCAATTACCCGTTTAGTTTCCTATGTGGTTATAATTGTTTCTGATTTTATTTTTATAAAAATACTACGATATAAAAAATCATTTGCCACATGGTTGACTCGATGATTATCTATCTAGTTATATTATTTGTATTTAAGCAAACATTGCTGAAGTGATGAATAATGGGGCTACCCCGAAAGGATTCTAAAACAATAGTTGTATTAAAAACGTCGGGCGTTGTAAGTTGTCTGACTATAGCGCACCCACAGTCTGCTACTATGAAAGTAAAGGCAGGATGCTTTAAGAACGCACTGGACCTGGACAGAAATTAGTAAGAATATTTATTATAAGTACAGTACAGTATGAGAATGGAATTACTTGTCGGCGCCTGTCTTTCCGTTCGATAACAATCTGCGAAGAATCTCTTGAAGACAAAAATGAACAAGCTTTTGTTTGTTAAACATTGAGATTTACTAGGACTTCATCAACACTTACCACCAGGTGAGATTTTGACTTAACACTGGCTTATAATACGTTTAAATAATAACCAGACTGTCATTTATAGTATTTGGATTTATTATGGTTGTTAGTATTTCTTGATGACGTTGATGTCCATTCTATCGGACTAAGCGTCGCTTTACCTTGTTAAGCCATTTAATGGACCAATACAGACGTTTCACGAACGCTGCAGATAGCAAATCAAAAATACATTATGTTAGTTTCTTTCTAACATTATTCCCACATTAAGCCTTAAAAAGTTTCATCCGTCGTGATAATAAATCTTAATTATGTATTGTACGCTCTACGTTCCCTTGGCACATATAAGAATGACGAATCCACTGCGGAGTTGCAGCGAAACGTTCTCTGCATACAAATACGCCTGTTATATAAGAACAGCAGTGTTGCATTGAATTTGAACGGTAGCATACCAGTCTCGTAGGTCCTAGAATTCAATTGATTGGTGCTAACACTTTATTATACTATTTTTTTTTCAACCGACTTAAAAAGCCCTACCTACTCAATTCGACTGTATGTTTTTTATGTGTGTTACCACAGAACTTTTTTCTGGGTGAACCGATTTTGATGATTCTCTTTTTATTTGATAGCTGATGCTTCTCTTGTGGTCCCAAGTTAAGTGTGCGTATTGTTAGTAAGCTTAGGCTGATGCGCTATGTGAAGGTTGCAAGACTTAACTTCAACATGTTCAAGTCTTTTGAGTACTACTCAGGGCTCCTTTGTGACAACGTGCATTTTTCGAGGTTATAGAAGCGGCGTAAAAAATATTGACATCGTGAATATTGGGGAAATATTAGTAAATCAGTTATACGCGCAATTCAAATTATAGTAACATTAGTGTGACTTCTGTTGTTGCAGATTAGACGACAAATAACTTATATATTGTTGTTGTAAAATCCTAAATATAACACAAATGAACTTTTAAGTACAGTTGTGTCAACGAAATTGACTATTATGCTATGCATAAACGAACTATGCATTCCTTGGGGAGGCGTGGATTTGTGAAGAGCTGTATTGATGATGATGATGAAATGAACTTTGTATCATTAATAATAGTAGTCCACGATGTAACTAAGATCACTCGCGTTTGTTCGTAATATACATTCATAGTGAACTTTGTGATCGGTGGCGTACCAAAAATATTGTGCGTGCCATTGGTTTGCCATCCCTAACCTACGAATCTACTTGGGATCCTCATAATTAATAAAATTAAAACCAAACCCACTTCAAGTAAGCTATTCCATAATTGATGAAGTGACAGTAGCCTAATGGCAGGGTGCGGACCGCGTACTCAAAGGATCGTGTGTTCCTAACACAAGCATTTTCAGCTTACCAGAAGTCTTGAAAGGGAATATTAGTAATGTTAATAGCATGGCTAGTATTTTTTCTAAAAAAAATAATAAAATTAAATCCAAACCCACTTCAAGTAAGATCGTACCGAAGACTAATATTTAAAAGTTGAAAGTACCCTTTTAACTACGATTCAGTAGGTACGTCAAACACCTCACTTTTCCCCGTAGCCATGGGTGCTGTAAAACGCCCGAAACGTCAGGAATTAAAAAAAGTTAAACTAAACTCGATAAATACCATACAATTCATTTACTCAACGTGTAGTATTCGCGTAAATTATTAGAAAGCATTAACTCAGCATAATAAACACCCAAACACGTATTTTACCGATTTTAAAAAGACCAACAGAAGTAGTTGCGTAGAGCATATATACAGACGTACATAAAAACTTAATTCAAGGATAAACACTCACGTTACATAGAAACAGGCAGTGTTTTATATGACAAAGATACTCAGCAAAGTATTGAGGAATTCTGTTTTTATTAACTGGGATTTTGAACATCCTCATTTTTAAAGGATTCAGGGCTGAGTTCGGAAAATACCGACTTTAACCGAAATTTAAAATAATTTTGCTAATTTTATGGAGTTTTTCATAACATTTCGTTTATTACAAATATCTTATTTATTTATTATAAGCCACGGTTTTATTACAATATAATGGTGGTAAAAAAACTCTAGATGGTAAGTGGCACAGTCTCAGTCGCACCAAACGCTTATGCACTCTTGCCATGAAGATGACTGTAAT